TCCAGGGGCCTGGGATTGAGCCCTGTTTCGGGCTCCCTGCTTAGCGGGAGCTAAGAGAGCCTGCCGCTCTCCCTACTTGTGCTCTGTGTGTATGTGTGTGTGTGTGTCAAATAAATAACTAAAATCTTGGAAAAAAAAGTCTTAAAAAGTCAGTAAGCCCATCTTGAGCAGACACAGGCTGTGGGACAGAGGACAGTGTGTGCTGAACCGATCAGATTCAAGCTGACTTCAGAGGTCTCGGCATGTGGCTTGGGAAGCAGTCCCTGATTTTCCGGGTAGGGTGAAGCCTTGCCCCCTGGATGAGATTTCCTTGGCTGCTGTAATATATTAATATAAACCTCATGGCTTAAAAACGACACAAATTGGGCGCCTGGGTGGCTCAGTCGGTTAAAGCCACTGCCTTCGGCTCAGGTCATGATCCCAGGGTTCTGGGATCGAGTCCCGTATTGGGCTCTCTGCTCAGCAGGAAGCCTATTTCCTCCTCTTTCTCTCTGCCTGCTGCTCTGCCTGCTTGTGATCTCTGTCTGTCAAATAAATAAATAAAATCTTTTAAAAAAAAAAAAGACACAAATGTACTGTTGTGTCGTTCTATAAGTTCAGTGTTCTACATCAGTCACACTGGGCTGAAGTCAAGGTGTTGGTAGGGCTGTGTCCTTTCTGGAGGCTCCAAGGGAAAATCCGTTCCTTGATTTTTCCAACTTTGAGAGGTTGCCTGTGTCTCTGGGCTCACAGCCCCTTCCTCCACCTCCAGAGCCCCCAGTGTCATATCTGTGCCTCAGTTTGTTCATCTGTACCATGGGCACAACTCTCTGACTGTTCATGCAGTCCTGCTGTCAAGCTCAAGTTCCTGAGAGCCCAGCAGAGTCTTGAACTCTCCACAGATGACAGGTGTAGGGGATGCTGAAGGCTCAGACATGGGCATCCAGGTCTCCCTCCAGCCCCAGCGTTGGGGAGGCCTGGGGCAGAGACAAAGCTGTTGAGAAGGTTTTCCTTGGTGGGTAGAACTTGGTCCCCATGTGCAGAGAAGAGCACTGGAAGGCATGGTGTGAGGCCCCGTGACAGTTTCAGGACGCAGTTCTGTAGACGTGTATGGAGTTGCTGGGCCCTCCCCCCGCCCCGGGGCATCTGAGAAATCAAGTCTGCTGGGCACACCAGCTTCCTGCGGCCGCTGAAAGGAAGCCTCACAAACCAGGTGGCTTCAAAGAACCAAAGAGCTGTATCACAGCAGTGCATTCATAAAGCAGTTCTCGTGCAAAGCTATTTTCTAAATATTGATGTATTTAACTCTCTATATATACACACAAACCCATAACAGCTTGGCCATATTACTGTGATGGAGTTAGAAAGGAGTTTTAGTAATACAATTGTTTTAAAAAATAGTTACGTCTTTAAGTATATATATCCACCCGTATATATGAAGGCAAAATAAGTTTTCATGTTACCAAGCTGAACACTGAAAAAGGACGTAAGCAGCATAAACTGGGTACAAATCCACGGGCTCTGATCCGTGCCTGTCTTGGGTGTGTCCGGGACATTTTCCTGGAGAATGACTTTTTCTTCTTGCCTGGTCTTGCTATTTTTAATTGTTCCATATAATTGCTGAACTCTTCGCCTTCAAGTGTTACAGTTAATAAATGTAAATTAGCACCTTCAATCGACCCTTCTCTTAGACTAGAACGTATTTATTTAAGAAAATGGGGCTGGGGCAGGTGCTCAGGTGCCAACACACACTGAGCAAGTTGTGAAAAGGGGAGCTGTTCTCAAGCCCGACTTTCTGCATATAAAATGATGTGAGTATTTTAGCCCAGATATTTTCACAGGTGGTGCCTGTATGCCTTCATTCAAAGTGGCTTTCTTCCACAAATATTTTTACTAGATGCAACTCTACAAAGAAACTGTAGTTGTGATTTTTGAATGCTTTGGCAAGCTTAGATGTCGTGAATCATAGGTTTTCCCAATTTCATCTCATTTCTGTACAGAATATGAACTTATCCAATGGAAAAGTTTCTTCCCACAAACTGAGGAAGTCCAAAGCTCACTACAGAATTTTAAAATTAAATCTTGTGTGCCACGGAGCCCTTGTTCTCTGATTTAATCCTTTCTTCCCTTTTACAATACATTTCCTTTATTTTCTGCACAATAGCTTCGTTTTCCATCGTTAGACACGCAAAAGCAGATGTTTCAGTACTCTGTTCTTTAAACATCTTGATTAAAGATCTCCCATTGATTCGGAATAAAATTAAAAAAAATTAGAGCTCTCCTTTAATAAACATCTAGTAACACTTTCAGGCATTTAGGCTCAAGGTCTTATAAAATTGATGGATGATGGGCAGCAAAGGAAAGAAATACATGTCGAAGGTTTTCTTTTTTTTCATTCACCATCAACTGCACTAAAAAAGCTGTGGTTTTCTTAATTTTGTCAACTATCATCTCCATTTCAATTGGTAGAATATTGAAACTTACTTGCAAGGAATTATAAACAGTGTGTACATTTCTGTTTCTTTGGTCTCTTATTTAGTAAGAATGTAACTGTTACCATGACACCACGCCCAGGATAGTCTGTCTTTGCATTACCATCACAAAAATATAATTCTAGTTCCAGCGTAAACAATTTAAACTAAATTTAGAATAGAATTCCCCAGAAGTCCTTTGTTCCGTTTGGCCAGACTGAGCTTCCAGAAATTGGTCTAGGAGAAAACCAGAACCAAAAATCAACTGAATTAATGTGCAGAACAGCTGCTTCGTCTAAGTTGAAAAGCCATGCTTCCGCGGGTGAGATTGGTGTCTTAGGGCAGATCTTTTAAAAGCATGATCTTCTAAAATGGCAGCTTTTGTGTCTCAGGTGTTCTTGGAGTCAGCGAAATCGCTGCAGCCCCACAGTGATGTCAACATCAGCAAACATTCTGTACAACCTGCACAGTCACCACAACTTCCTTGAGAAACAGAAGCTCGCTACTTAAGAGCTCATCACTGCCAGAAAGGGCATATTGCAAAATTTAGAAGTATTTCCAGGGGCCGCCTGGCTGGCTCAGTCGGTAGAGCGTGCAACTCCATCTCAGGGCTGTGAGTTTGAGCCCCACGCTGGGCGTGGAGCCTACTTAAAAAAGAATCACAAAAACAAGTATTTCCGAATAACCAAGTAAGCATTTAGTTGTGGATTTATGCCCTGCAGGAGCTGACAAAACGAGAGTATCCTGACTCTTCCGTGTGCTCTGGGTCAGGGCTCCCAAGCGCTACGGTACTCCACAGCCTCCCAACCAATGATTCCCTGTGTTTCTCATTCACCTGCCCTCTGGTGACCAGGTACCTTGTTCTCTTCTCGGTCTACACTCTCCCTTGGTGATTTCATCCAGTCTTGTGGCTTTAAACACCATCTGGGTAATCACAGTTCCCATTTACATATCACAGTATCAGACCTTGTCCCTGAAAACCGGACTTGACTATCTAGGTGAGCCCTAGAAATCCCCACTTGGGGGCCAGTAGACATCGCAACCTTGACATGTCCAAGAGTGAACCCCTGATCTCCCCCCACTCAAAAAATCCTGCCCCATCTTCAGTCTGTGACCTCCATTTCAGTTGATGACAACCTCATATTTCTTGGCGACATCCGATCCTTCCTTCCTCACAACCTGCATCTGATTGAAAATCACGGTGCTACTACTTCCAATATAAATCTAGACACTGATTCCATCTTATCATCCCCCCCCCTGCCACCACTCCCCAGCTAACACATTTACTCAGTCTGTTGGTGTTGTGGGCTCTCTCTTCCCACTAGGCTAGAAGGCCCCCGAGGGCATGGAGTTTTTACCAGTTTGATTCACTGCCGTGTCCAAAATACCTAGAACAGCGCCAGGTATACAGCTGGTGCTCAATAAATACTAGTTCAGTAGATAATTGCATGGAGGAACTGGTGAATTATGCTTTGGTGTGAATGGCCCAGTGTGTGAGTTACCAACAGTGTCAAAACTTGACGGTCATTGCCTCCTCAGATAAGGAAAGTGGGGCTCAGAGACACCAAGTGGTTGTCCAAGGTCACACAGCCAAGACTCTTCCAAGATTGGTTCTCTCTTACACAATATCTTCTGTTAAATGCTGTGAGGCATTGCCCAGAGGAAGAATCTCAGCCCATGAGTACAGGACGTGGTCCCTTCTTTCCATGGGGTTCCAGAGGGCTGGGAGGCATAGTCCGCTTCCTTCCCACCACATCTCTCTTCCCCCGGACAGCGTCGGCATGCGGGAGGCAGGCCAGCTGTGGGCTAAGGGGCAGTGCAGACTGAGGTCTCCCAGGACAGGCTGGCTCCCTCGTCTACCAAGTGGGGACAAAACGTGTAGCAGGATTGCATAGGCAGAGGCCCAGGCTCTGGGGTCAGACGGTCGAGGTCTGTGTGACCGTGGAGGAGAGATCAGCCCGCATTGCATGGAGGGGACAAGGACCCAGCCCCCACAGAGCTGCTGGGAAAATTAAATGAAAAAATATTTAAACGTGAAAGTCTTCGAATGGTGCCTGGAGATAGAGATCATTTCCTCTGTGTGAGTGGCTATTCTTTCTTTTTCTTTTTCTTTTTTTTTAAGATTTTATTTATTTATTTATTTATTTGAGAGACAGCGAGTGAGAGAGAGCATGAGAGGGGAGAAGGTCAGAGGGAGAAGCAGACTCCCTGCGGAGCAGAGAGCCCGATGTGGGGCTCGATCCTGGGACCCTGAGATCATGACCTGAGCCGAACACAGACGCTTAACCGACTGAGACACCCAGGCGCCCCACTACTATGGTTATTAATAAGACGAATCAGCACCTTCCACGGGGCGCTTCCAGTGGACCAGGCGACCCCGCCAAGCGCTCCATAGATCCGAATGCCAGTCCTCGCCACAGCCCCACAAGAGGGATACGATTGGCTCCGGCTTCCAAAAAGGAAAAATAAAGGTCAGGGGTCTCAGTGGCCCACACCAAGTGGTTGCGCCAGGGTTCGGACTCGGGTTTCAAAGCCCCCGTCCTTTCCTTTATGCCAGGAGTCGGCAAACGTCTCCTCAAGGGGACCAGACAGCGAGTATTCCCAGTTGTGGCAGCCACGCAGCCCTGTCACTGCCACACAAAAGCAGCCTTGGACAACACGCAAACGAGCAGGTGTGGCCACGCGCCAATAGCACCTTATTTTCCAAACCTGGGGGCGGGTTGCCAGGGGCGGCCTCCCGCTGACTCTGCATGCCCTTCGGCGCAGGTCCCCGTGGATGGCGTCCCGGAGCCTGCTGGAGTCCCTGTTGCTGAACCGGAGCCGGCTCTCGGCGCCCAGTGCCACGTCGTGCGACGGCGCGCGGGAAGCCTGGGCCCTGCTGTACGGCGTCCTCCCCCCGTTCATCGTCATCGTCTGCGTCTGCAGCCTGCTGGGGAACCTCTTCGTGCTGTCCGTCTTCCTCCTCCCGCGGCGGCGCCTGAGCGTGGCCGAGATCTACCTGGCCAACCTGGCTGCCTCCGACCTGGTGTTCGTCCTGGGCCTGCCCTTCTGGGCGGACAACATCGCGCACCACTTCCGCTGGCCCTTCGGAGGCCCCCTCTGCCGCCTGGTCAATGGCGTCATCAAGGCCAATCTGTTCATCAGCATCTTCCTGGTGGTGGCCATCAGCTGGGACCGCTACCGCGTGCTGGTGCACCCCATGGCCAGCCGGTGGCGGCGGCAGCGGCGACGGGCCAAGGTCACCTGCCTGCTCATCTGGGCGCTGGGCGGCCTCCTGAGCGCGCCCACCTTCCTGTTCCGCTCGGTCCAAGCCGTGCCCGAGCTGAACAACTCCCACGCCTGCGTGCTCCTGCCCCCCGGCGGGGCCTGGCACTGGGCGAGGATGGTGGAGCTGAACGTGCTGGGCTTCCTGCTGCCGCTGGCCGCCATCGTCTTCTTCAACGGCCACATCCTGGCCTCCCTGCGCGGGCGGGCTGAGGTCCCGGGGACGCGCTGCGGGGGCCCCGCCGGCGGCAAGAGCACGGCCCTCATCCTCACCCTGGTGGCCGCCTTCCTGGTCTGCTGGACCCCCTACCACTTCTTCGCCTTCCTGGAATTCCTCTACCAGGTGCGGGCCGTCCGGGGCTGCTTCTGGGAGGATTTCATCGACCTGGGCCTGCAGTATGCCAACTTCTTCGCCTTCACCAACAGCTGCCTCAACCCCGTCATTTACGTCTTCGTAGGCCGGCTTTTCCGGACCAAGGTCTGGGAACTCTACCAGCAGTGTACCCCTCGGAGTCTTAGTCCGGGGTCCTTGCCCCACAGGACGGATGTTCTCCATTTCTGGCAGAAGAAAAACAGCAGGGAGCCATGAAGCGTGGCTTCCTCTTCAGTAATTTCGGACATGAGAGATGCTGTTGTCGTGGGCTCCGGATGGAGCGCCCCCTGCCCCCTGGCGCCCCTGCAAAAATGGGCAGGACCTCATCCCTGGAAACTATTGCGTGTTTTTCTCATAGGAGGACTCTGCAGGTGTGATTAAGGTAAGGGTCCCGAGATGGGGAGATGATCCTGGATTATCTGAGTGGGTCCAGTGTCCCACAAAGTTCCTTATAAAAGAGAAGTGGCCATGTGAGCATCTGAGAAGGCCATGAGACCGCAGAAGCAGGAGGCTGGAGGGACCGCAGGAGCCCAGAGCCAGGGCCTGGCTGCTGGCACCCCTAAGGGCCGGAGAAGGGACAGAGACGGATTCTCCCCTTAAGCCTCTGGAAGGAGTCGGCCCTGCAGACATCCGGACTTGAGCCCACCGAGATGGACCTCAGAGGTCTGGCCTCCAGAAAGAGAAGACAATAAAGTCGTGCTGTTTCACATCACCGAGTTTGTGCTAATTTGTTCCAGCAGCCACAGGAAACTTCCAGTAAGGGTCTCTGCCCACGTTGCCACATGCCCACCCAGAAGGTTCTAGGCTAATGGCTAGGCACACAGAGATGATAGAACTAGGGATCCCATCCACAAGAGACTGGCATGAATAATTAGAATATACAAAAAGAAAGCGAGAAATCACAGAAGCACGCCCCATATCCAGCACCGTGAGTGTTCAGAGGGGAAAAGGGTGCGTCCTTGCAGGGCTGTCCGGAGACCTGCTCTGAAGGGAGGCAACGGGGAGCTGAGTTTTAGGAAGGGCAGAATCTGGAGGCGCAGAGAAAGGGAGGGGGGCCTGGCAGAGGCATAACCGGGACACACAGGCGGGACACAGGCGCTATGCAGAAAGAGTATTTATGGAAATGTTAATGCTTCCGTCTTCTTGCTCCAGAGGATCGGGGTGAACTGGGAAAAGTCTGCGTTCAAAGGGCTTGGAGAGTGTCAGAGAGCAGGATAACTGCCCCCACCACGTGTGAGGAAGTGTTCTGAGCACAGAGAAGCAGCCCCCAGGAGGGGTGGCTAGGAGGAGTGGGGTCTGGAGGGCTTCCCGGAGGAAGAGACAGGGACTGTAAGTAGTGAGTCTGAAGAACACACAGTTGGCCAGACCAAATAGGAAAATGGTGTGTTGCAGAGAGAAGAAACAAGCTCCACCCAGAGGTGGGTAGGTGTGTAGGTTGGGAGGGAGAAGGATGAAGGAAAGTGAGGTACAAGGTGGTCACAGATGGGTTTCAGGGTCGAGGAGGACAAGATGGTTAAGGGCAGGGAGGGAAGCATGGAGGGCCCGGCTAGAGCTAGAAGGCATTAACCTGTTATGTGAATCATTCTAGCCATGCTTATCAGACCCCAGACAGGCAGACATGGGGTATCTTCAGGGCTGGGGTTTTGCCAGAGGACCGCCACCGCTCAAGGGGATTGGGGGTTTTGGTCGGACTATGGAGACTGGCTGAATTAGAGAAGGCATGAACTTAGGAGGTGAGGGAGACAGACATGGATGTGGTCACAGAGCGGGGACCGTGGGAGCACCTAGGTGACAGAGCAGAAGAACAGCAGGTTGAGGCCACAGAGTAAGAGTGTTTGCACAGAACATTCCAACTCCCGTGTGGCCATGGCCTTGGGCAGCTGGAATAGAGAGAAGGAGAAGGTCATTGGTGACAAGGCAGTCCAGGAATGGAGAGGCGGGGGATGGACAGCCCACAGGGTCCCTGCGGGCAGGCAGGCAGTGCTGGAAGGTCCCGGGGAGGAGACAGCTGTGGGTCAGGTGCCAAGGCGGGTGTCCGGGCAGGGGTTGGAGTGCAGGGAGGAGCAGCTTCTGCTTGAGAAAGGCCAGTGCTCATGGGGCAGCAGCAAAGCCCTGGATGCATTCAGGAAAGGGAAAGAAGCCAGTGTTCCTGGAGCCCGCCGATGGGATCTAAGAGGGCCTGGGCCACCAGACCCTCGCAGGCCAGCAGTGGCCACCCCCGAGGTCAGTGCACCAGCCCTGGCGGTGTCCTGGAGAGCAGAGATTTAAGTCAACAAGCACCGATCCAGCCAGCACATGTGTTTAATTTAAATCATGTGGTATTTAAAAACTATTTTTGAGTTGGTGACCAATATTTAAATTTCACCCAAGAATCCCATTCCCGGCTTCCCTTGGGCATTAGCAGATCTAGTGACATGGAGCCTGCATTCCTTCCTTAGGCATATGCTTACTGAGCCTCTAGTTCAGGCCAGACACTGCTGTGGGTGCTGGGAGCACAGCAGGGGCCCCCAGGCACTGACTTTGGGGTGCTCTCTAGGACACCGGTTCTCTGGTGCTGAGAGCAGGTGCCCCTGACGCCAGGGCTACAGCCACCTCCCACAGAGCAGAGGCTGGAGTCACCAGCTTGCCTGGTTGCTTCCCAACACGAAGGCCATGTCTGAGCCCCTGGGGCAGGAATCCTGGGAGCAAAGGTCCTGAATAAGGCGGCCAGGACAGAATTAGCAGGCAGAAGTAGAGGGTCGGAAAGGAAAGGTAACACACACCCACTCTCTCCTCCGCTCTGAGTGACCTGACCTGAAAAAGTCCTCCTTGCTGCTTTCTTGGTCCCCTGTACCTTCTAAAAATGCTCTCTGGGGGTTGCAAAAGACGATGCCACCATCTAGAGCATGCTGGCGTGAGAAATCAGACCGTTGCTCGTGCGCCTGTTCAACATTAGGCTGTATGCATGGTCTCCCAGACACCTGATCTCCTGGATGGGTGTAACCGTCACCAGAGCCCGGCCCGCAGCCCTGCGGACAAGGTCAAGTGTTCATGGGCAGAGGGAGAAACTCCTGCCTTGGTTAAAAGGATCAGTGCTGCGCGAGAAATAAAATTTTTGAATTCGCTATTCGGGTGATGCGCTTGACCAGGGGGATTCCATGTGTGGGTCAAGCCTCACCTGGTAGGGCTAACACCTGACATGAAGGGATGAGTGAGCACGTGGTCTCCCAGTATCCCTGGCTCCAGCACCCAGGTGGGCTCCCACTTTCTGTCTGAGAAGGGCCCAGGGTAGACAGGCAGGGCCCGTTCTCTAACCCAGCTCCTGCTGTGGGCCTTTTGCGTCAGTCCGCAGTCGCCCTCCCCGCTCCCCCACCGTAGCCATCACCCCATCCGTCGTGGGCACTGAACAGCACTAAACACTCCCAAATCCCAGACCGGGGGACTCCCGGGTGTTGCAATGGACACAGACAGGTTCTTCTCCGGAGATGAGTCACGAGCTTGACGAGGAGCAGGCAGGAAGTCTCTCCTACATGCTAGAAAAGGCTTTCCATTAAATTAAAACAAGTGCATGTCAAACCAGCACAATGTGGCTAGAATCCGAAAACGTTCCTGGTTGTGACATTGCACCAGACTTACACACGATGTCATCACAGGGTAAACTGAGTAAAAGAGTACAAGGGATCTCTCTGTGAATCGAATAAAAAGTTTAAAATACATGTATATATTATTGAGTTGAACATTTCCATTTTACAGATAAGGAAACTAAGGCCCAGACATAGGCAGACACTTTCCTGAGGTTACCCAATGAGCTGGATTGCTGGGGCAGGGCTCTGTCCAGACCCAGGGATGCCCACCAGACTATGAAGTCAGAGAACAGGCCTGAGTGCCAGGGATCCCACCATCAGAGTTGCCTTCCTGGTGGCAGACTCCCTGTGCCTGGCACTGGATTTAAGATAATGAGCAGGAAGACTCATTAAGATAATGAGCAGGCTCACTTTTCAGGAGCAAATTTTAGAGACAAAAGGGTATTAGAACAGTCAGTTGGGGCTCAGCAAGTATGAGGGGAAGATACTTCAGGATTTTCCTTGAGAGGGAGCTTAGTGACTGCTGAAAGAGCTGCCAGTTCTTGGGTTATATTAATAGGAGTATAGCATCTAAAATGTGGGAGGTGATAGCCCATTTAGCTTAGCAATGGACAGGGTACAGGAAGAGTATTGTGTTTCAACTCTTGGCTCATTCAGAAGAAAGGGATCAGACTGGCAAAGGGACGTAATAGCATAACCTTCATGACACAGTGAGAGCCTGAGAGAGCTTTCCTGAAGAAGCAAAGACCTACGGAGAAAGGGAAACAAGTGTATTTCATGTTTCCCCAGCAGGACCAAAACGGAAAGAAAATCCTGAGAAACACATTCCAGCTTACTTCGAGGAAAGAACTTTCTGAGAGGCAGAGCTGTCCCATGATAGAACCTGGCTAACAGCGGGTTCCCTGGTCCCAAGGCACACCCACCCTTGAGCAGCTCACTGCAAGCAGGGGGGCCGATAGGGAAAGCCGTTTCTCAGTATGAGCTGCTAATCCCAGAATGACAGAGTCTGCCTGGAAGGAGTTCAAGAAACGGGGGTAATAGAGGAGGTGACCCCGAGCTGGGTCTTACAGTTAAATAGGACAATGCGGGTGTCAACCACCCACCGTCTTTGTCTCGCCCAAGAAGTGATGCAGTGAGATCAAGGGCTGGAAGAAGTATTGCAAGGCTCAGAAGTCAGTGTTCCCTACAGGCCACAAGAGGCCACAGAGACACTAAACAGGGGAGTGTCAAGTTCAGACCCACTGAACAATCACTCCACCAGATTACGTGGAATATGGATGGTGGCCTGGCTCCCTGTAGAAGCTATCTCTTGCTGCACAACAACCCGCCCACAAGCTTATAGACTTAGAACACCCATGGCTCACAGTTCGGTGGTCGACCACACCGGCCGGGCTCTGCTGACAGTTCTTCCGCTGGTCTTGGCTGCGCTCCCGCATGTATCTGTGATCAGCGGCCGGCCGGCCAGCTCTTCTTCGGGGGGCTGAGCAGGAAGTCTGCAGCAGACCCACACCCGGCCTCAGACAAATTACAAATCCCTGCTAGATGAGGTATGATGCTGGCAGGTGGGGGAGCACCCCAAATCTGACCTCCCCAATCTAAGAATCAGAGCTGCTGGACTGTCCACTGCTGTGACCTCATGCACTGAGGGCTTACTCCATGGTGGGTGCTATGCAAGGCACGGTGGCAGCAGACCGTGAGATGCTGGCCTCTTGGAGAGTTCATGGGGCAGGGATGAAGTCATCTCATGGAGGCTGCTCAGATGATAGGGGACCCGAGACCCAGAATGCTCTGCCCCCTCGCACGAGGTGACAACACTGATAAGAAGTCTGGGTGAGGCACCAGCTCCCCTACTGCATCTCCCCCTGCACGATGGCTCCCCAGAACACCTTCCTAAGAACGTCTTGTCTTTTGCTTTCTTTTTTTAAAGATTTATTTATTTATTCAAGAGCGGGGAGAGCAGGGAGGTGGGGCAGAGGGAGAGAGGGTCTCAAGCAGACTCTGCACTACGCACAGAGCCCAACTCAGGCCTCGATCTCATGACTCTAAGATCATGACCTGAGCTGAAACCAAGAGTTGGACACTTAAGCAACTGAGTCACCCAGGTGCCCCAAACACCTTGTCTTTCCCCAAACACCTTTGCCCAGGGCCGACAGGGTGAGGGGAGGGGTGGGTCAGTCTTCATCC